ACCTATGTGCATTCAACAAACTCATCATTAGTGACACAATATTCGCACACAAACGCATACACAAAGCTACATGAATTTCACCAGATCACACTACTCAGAACCAAATCAACCAATCTGTTTCAAGAAAATGCTCAGAACGACCATGGAGGAGGTGGGAACCAAGAGAGGAACCGATATAGCCTCTTATTACCACTTGCTGTTCGACAAAATGAAACCGAAACTCAAGAAATACTGGACAATGGTGCGGACAGCATCACAAAAGTTTACTACTGCCTTTCCTCGGGATACTGGGAAACTCAACGAATTCCAGACAGCCCTTAGCATTAGGTTGCAGGTCTTGCGCGATCTACTCAATGGAGAGGAAGCAACCTTGTAGAACTATTAGAAAGAGATCAAGGAGGCAATCACTTCAACATGTCACGAAGTTCTGGGTCACAAGAAGTACCATCGCAAGGAATGGATCTCTGTTGGTACTCTTGCAAAAACTGAAGAAAGCAGGAACAAGAGGGCAGCAATCAATGTCAGCCGAACAAGCGCAGACAAAGTTAAGGCACAAGCTGAATACACAGAAGCAAACAGGAAAGTGAAGAAGAAAATCAGAGCCGACAAACGAAAATATGTGGAAGATCTAGCAATGACGGTGGAAAAGGCTGCAAGAGAAGGAAACACGAGATAATTGTACGATACAACAAAGAAGTTCGCTGGAAACCATCGTAAACCAAAACGACCAGTGAAAGCAAGGAAGGCAAAGTAATCAGCAACATAGAAGAACAGCGAAACAGGTGGGCAGAGCACTTTCAGGAACTCCTGAATCGACCAGCTCCACTGAACCCACCTCGCAATCGATGTTGACTCACCAACAATTTGAAAGATCAGTATGGCCATTAGGCAATCAAGAGTGGCGAAGCTGCGGAACCAGAAAACATTCCAGCAGAAGCAATGAAAGCAGACGTGGCAGCAACTGCAAAAATAGTTCACATTCTCTCCAAAAATATTTGGAATGAAGAACGAGTGCCAACAGACTGGAAAGGAGGATACCTCATCAAAATACCAAAGAAAGGCTATCTCAGCAAGTGTGAGAACTACAGAGGTATCACTCTTCTCTCAAAACAAGGCAAGTTCTTCAACAGGCTGTAGTTAAGCAGAATGAAGGACTTCGTAAACGTCCAACTTCCAGATAAAAAGGCTGGATTTCGTAAGGATCGATCGTGTACTGACCAAATCGCAACATTACGGATCATTGTGGAACAATCAATTGAATGGAACTCACCACTCTACATCAGCTTCGTCGACTACAAGAAAGCATTCGATAGCGTCGACAGGAAAACATTATGAAAGCCTCTTCGACACTACAGCGTGCCTGAGAAGAAAGTCAACATCATACGGAATTCTTGTGATGGGTTAAACTGCAAAATCGTGCACGTAGGTCAGCTGACACAGGCAAGGTTGCTTAATCTCTCTCAAGGTCTCTAACCATCGGTGGCTATCGTCTCGCGGACCCCAACCAGGTAGCCTACATATACCAACAAGACCGTAGCTGCTACCTTGACGTGGTGGTCGGGCTTGCCTATCGTGATGACCCGATCGAGCTATATTGTTTGGAACATATGTCCCTGAAGCTTCTACCATGCCAGGCAGGTCGATTGGAGAACGATGAGACTAAAAGCAGCTACTCAAGGTCTGAGGACAAAGTCGTACTGCTGACTGCAGAGGAGTGTGACACCAGTACCGTGTTTCCCTCGGACAACCAGCATCTGCAGCGACGCTGCCTTTTCACAAGGAAGGAAGGGTTAGAAAATGTCACACCTCCGCTACCTCACGGATTTCCGTCTCCTTGGGTAAGAGTGCCCACTAAGGGCCTTTAAGAACGGAGCTAATCCTACAAATACATTTCATTAAAAGGCAGTGCGTGACCGGCCACAAGCAGTTGCCCCTTGGACTCTGCGATCACGCTCCCTGGTCTCCAAGACCAGTACTAATCTATCTTCCTTTTCAGGTCCCTCAAGAAACACCCTTCCACGGTGTGAGCAGCCGGTAAGTGACAACCGCCCTCATACCCGTAACACCCACACATACCTCTCTTCTCTCCACAACTAACTCTACTCACATTCCCTTATCTCACTGCACCGCTAATGCAAACAGTGTGGGTTCCCGAAACGTCATTCCTGGTCTCGTGAAACCTCGTTTTAGTCTACATGTTGGAGCTTTTAATGTACGGACATTGTGTCAAATAGGGCAACAGGCATCATTAGCTAGGACTTTAGAATCTCGTGCCGTCGATGTATGCTGCGTCTCGGAAACGCGCATACAGGATCCTAGTAAAATCATTAATCTGATTTCACCTAATCAAAATAAAGAAGCAACCCCATTTTACTCTTCGTGTATCCGGTAGCCCTGATGCTGCTTCCCGGGGTCTTGCTGGCGTAGGCATAGCATTGAGTCGTAGAGCTGAACAATCTCTCCTTGACTGGATCCCAGTAGATAGTGGCTTGTGCGCTGTCCGACTAAACGGGACAGTAAGGATTTGGACTTCTTCTTCGGAACTTCTTTGTTGTATCGTACAATTATCTCGTGTTTCCTTCTCTTGCAGCCTTTTCCACCGTCATTGCTAGATCTTCCACATATTTTCGTTTGTCAGCTCTGATGTTCTTCAATCAGTCATTCAGATGCAACGTAGAACTTCGTACATAAGTACATCAGTTCAGTTGTTGAGGAACCCAGAACATGAGGATTTGACAAAACACAAAGAATGAATAGGTGGTGCGGAATTTGGAAGGTTAGGACTTGACAGAACACAAAGAATGAATACACCTGCGCCATTGCAAACCGTTTTGAGCCATGTTGTTCAAGGTCTCTAACCATCGATTATTATCATCTCGCGGACCCCAACCAGGTAGTCGACACCTACCAACATGACTCAATCCAGTTGTCAGTGACTTCATGAATTGGCGCCATAATTCGGTGTGGTCACCCCTCAGTCAGTCAGTCAGTTGCAACGTAGAACTTCGTACGTATGTATAAGTTCATGTTGCCATACCACATTATTAGCACAGAGACGCAAATGTCAAATCAAATCCCATAGTGATAAAGATAGTAGAGGTATTAATGTTAATAAAGAAGACTAGAGTTCGAAGATATTATTCAAAAAATATAATTCAGTGAGATAAGATTATAAAGACAAAGGCAGAGGTATTGACGAATCCAGAAGATTAGGATTTGAGAGAGCTCAGAGAGTGGATGCACGTGCGCCATTGCAAACGATTTTGAGCCATGTTGTTCAAGGTCTCTAACCATCGATTATTATCATCTCGCGAACCCCAACCAGGTAGTCGACACCTACCAACATGACTCAATCCAGTTGTCAGTGACTTCATGGATTTCTGCCATGTTTTGGTCTGGCCGCCCCTAGCTATCTTCCAACTTATTCTTACACCACAAAACACAGCTCAAGGAGGCGGTCGGTGGTTAGGCATACGCAACACTTGTCACAACCACCTCAACTGATGAAGTTTCACCACTTCATCTATTGATCTGCCATCCTAACTAGTACTCGTTTCCTAACGACAGCATTGCTTACTCGGCTGTCCCACGATATACGAGCAATGCTTCTTAAACATCTATGATCGAAAAGTAGTAACCTAGGCATATCTCCTACTCTGACTGGCCATGTTTCACAGCCATAAAGTAGGACAAAGCGAACTACTGCTCAGTGCACTCGTCCTTTAGTAAGCAAACGGATATCTCGCCTACGCCATAAGTGACGCAGGTTGGTAAAAGCCAATCGAGGTTTCTGTATTCGTGCTGAGATTTCGTCAGTCACCCGGCCACCGGCACTGATGATACTCTCGAGATAAGTGGAACGGTCAACACGTTCTGCTACATCACTCCCTACCACTAGTTCAAGTGTCGATGTTGTCCTATTTGGTACAAGTTTTGAACATCAAAAGCTCCAATATGTAATTAAGTACAGGATTTCAGGAGACCAGGAATAATGTTCCGTGAGCCCGAACCGTTTGCTTCAACGGCGCGATGTGGCAAACGGTCGAAAGAAGGGTTGGTCGAGGAGATAAGCGAGTTATTAAGAGGTGTAGAAAGGATTTGATTTTGACCAATTCTGTCTCGCATGCTGTTAAGGGTATGATGGTGGTTGTCACTTACCGGCTGCTCACACCGTGGAAGGGTGTTTCTTGAGGGACCTGAAAAGGAAGATAGATTAGTACTGGTCTTGGAGACCAGGGAGCGTGATCGCAGAGTCCAAGGGGCAACTGCTTGTGGCCGGTCACGCACTGCCTTTTAATGAAATGTATTTGTAGGATTAGCTCCGTTCTTAAAGGCCCTTAGTGGGCACTCTTACCCAAGGAGACGGAAATCCGTGAGGTAGCGGAGGTGTGACATTTTCTAACCCTTTCTTCCTTGTGATAAGGCAGCGTCGCTGCAGATGCTGGTTGTCCGAGGGAAACACGGTACTGGTGTCACACTCCTCTGCAGTCAGCAGTACGACTTTGTCCTCAGACCTTGAGTAGCTGCTTTTAGTCTCATCGTTCTCCAATCGACCTGCCTGGCATGGTAGAAGCTTCAGGGACATATGTTCCAAACAATATAGCTCGATCGGGTCATCACGATAGGCAAGCCCGACCACAACGTCAAGGTAGCAGCTACGGTTAGTCATGAAGCAAGATAACTGACGCTTGACTCACCAGATTTAAAAGTTTATGCTATTAGTTTCAAAGGATATTCTTTTATATTTTATTAAAGTATGCGTTTTTGAACTGCATCGGTTAAATATTTCTCCACTGACCTTGTATGTCACATAGCTGGTCAGAAATTAATTCAATAAAATTCAGTTACAACGAAGTTGATTCATAAAATAAGATGTACCGTACATGTAAAGCAACTATAGGTAGATGCATATCTATGTCACGGCTTGCGCTGTTTATGATTGATTGATGGTACATCATGCTAGATTTTTACTTTTTGATTTCATCCTTATTCTTATTTAGGTATTCTGGTCTTATATCACTGCTATGTTAACCAACCTTGGAAGTTTATCGTTGGATCGAATTCACTCGATGCTTAAAATGTTCGCACTCGGTTCTACATCCAGTTTAGGATTTAGTAGAGATGAACTACGCCAATTTCTGGATAGGAAACTTAGAGAAGGTCACCTTTGTTATGATGGTGATATGTACAAATTATTAGTGCCTGATGTGTAAATAACTTACTATATGCATGCTGTACTCACGGCTGCATCATTTAGCTCAAATAAAGTATACATTCAAAATCTTTCTAATTGTATATGTATAATTGATTCTTAAACATTCTGTACACACTGTTTCTAAACTAATAAACCTTAATTTAAATAGATGTGACCAGTTGTTAGAAATTTTTTTGATCAAAACAAAATATTGAATATGCTTTACCCATCAGTTAGCTTCACTTGTTATAAAGAAAGGGTAAGAGATGGGTTTGAGAATGGAGCCCTGATGCCATCAATGCGTTAACAACGTACAAAACCTTCCAGTCAGTCAGTTACAACGTAGAACTTCGCGTACATCAGTTCAAGATGCCATACCACATTAGCACAGAGATGCAATTGTCAATTCAAATCCAATAGTAGTAGAGGTAGTAGAACTATTGACAGTAATTAGAGAGATTACGATTAGAAGATATTATTCAAGTGAAATAAATCTACAAAAAAGAAAGATTAAGGTGATGAGGAATTCTGAAGACTATAATTTGAGAGGACACAAAGAATGGATGCATCTGTGCCATTGCAAACGGTTTTCAACGTCTTCACCGAATAAAACTACCCCATATTGAGTTCAAATAAGACTTGATATGAAGTAGCACCTGTATTCTCCAAGCATCCAGAAAGCGCGAGGTCCGAGTTCAGAAGAGAATCAGCATCCTGGAAAAAAGATCCAGGACCGAGTCCTCGTCACAAAACGTTACAGAAAATGCGTATTTATACATTTAGTTTGAATAAGAAACAGCATCGAAGTCTGTGACATTGACAGTTAAGACAACCAAAAAGAAACAACATTGGAGAACGTGACATTAATAGCTTGCACGGTCATATTATTGACCAGCAGAAATAAACCAATAGCAATTGACAAATAATTCTCTTGGGATAATGGATGAATATCCTAACAAAACGGCAGTGATATCTGATAGCAAGGTACACCATAAGGTTAGGGAGAAGCCATGGATCTCAGTAGCATCCACCGAACTGATGAACGCACGAAAACTCATCCCACCTGGCTCTGAACATGACGAAGAACGAAGTCGGCTTAAGCGCAGGCTGATAAAAAGCCTACGCAACAACCGTGAACAGTGGCGGGTGGCGAAAGCAAAAGAGATGGAAAAGGCAGTGGCGATAGGCAACAGTAGGCATCTATTCAGACTAATCAAGGAAACCGGTATTAGAAACCCGAAGGTGAGTGAAACCATCTCGGAAAAGGATGGTCTTATTATCCATTCTCAATCCAGGAGACTGGACCGATGGGAGGATTACTTTAGGCACTAGTTCAACTAGCCTTCAGCCACACTACGGTTGCCCACAATCTCCAGTCAACCTGAATGGGAAACCGATGTCAGTCCTCCGAATCTCTATAAAGTCGAAAAAGCTATAGGAAGTCGGAAGCGAGGAAGAGCAGCAGGACCTGATACATTGACCCCTGAGATTTTCAAGGATGATGGTCCAGTTTTAGCAGCTGGATTTACTGATATCCTAGGTAGAATCTGGGGACTGGACACAATCTCTTCCGACTGGTCTCAATCCCTGATTGTGCCAATTTCTAAGAAAGGACAAAAGTCTTCTTGTGACAATCACAGGGGAATCAGTCTAACCAATATGGTTTCTAAATGGTTAGGTTCGATAATACTTAGACGCATAACTAGTGCTCGTGAAGGGCAGTCTAGAGAAAACCAGGCTTATTTCAGACCTGGACGTGGTTCTATAGACCACATATCCATACTACCACAGGTCCTGAAACACACACACATTTCGACGTCCGACAAAAGTTGTCTTCCTGGACCTAAAAGCGGCATTCGACTCTGTAGATCGCGAGGTTCTGTAGCAGTGTCTATCATTGAAAGATGTACCAAAGAAGTACGTTAACCTTATACAAGCTCCCCACTCAAAAACTACAGGTCGAATGAGATCTTATGGCGAACTGTAATCGGAATTCTTTACTTCAAGTGGTGTCCGTCAGGGATGTCCACTCCCTCCATTCTTGTTCAATTTGGTCATAGACATGCTCCACCTGGATATAACCTTATCCTCGTCTGAATTTTCGGGAGTAGACCTTCTACCAGGAAAATCGCTTGTTGGCATAGAATATGCCGATGACCTAGTTCCATTCAGTGAAGACGTTGAAAATATGCAGTTTTCTGATCACCCTAAGAAACAATGCAAACATCTTTGAGATGCGGTTTTCCCCCTAAAAATGTCACACCTCACCCTACCTCACGGATTTCCGTCTCCGGCGGTGTGGGTTCCAACTAAGGGCTTTAAAAGAGCGGAGCTAATACTCAAAAAACCTTTCATAAAAAGGCCATGCGTAACCGGCCTCAAGCAGTTGTCCCTTGGGCTCCGCGGTCACGCTCCCTGGTCTCCAAGACCAGTACTAATCTATCTTCCTTTTCAGGTCCCTCAAGAAACACCCTTCCACGGTGTGAGCAGCCGGTAAGTGACAACCACCATCATACCCTTAACAGCATGCGAGACAGAATTGGTCAAAATCAAATCCTTTCTACACCTCTTAATAACTCGCTTATCTCCTCGACCAACCCTTCTTTCGACCGTTTGCCACATCGCGCCGTTGAAGCAAACGGTTCGGGCTCACGGAACATTATTCCTGGTCTCCTGAAATCCTGTACTTAATTACATATTGGAGCTTTTGATGTTCAAAACTTGTACCAAATAGGACAACATCGACACTTGAACTAGTGGTAGGGAGTGATGTAGCAGAACGTGTTGACCGTTCCACTTATCTCGAGAGTATCATCAGTGCCGGTGGCCGGGTGACTGACGAAATCTCAGCACGAATACAGAAACCTCGATTGGCTTTTACCAACCTGCGTCACTTATGGCGTAGGCGAGATATCCGTTTGCTTACTAAAGGACGAGTGCACTGAGCAGTAGTTCGCTTTGTCCTACTTTATGGCTGTGAAACATGGCCAGTCAGAGTAGGAGATATGCCTAGGTTACTACTTTTCGATCATAGGTGTCTGTCTCTGAAGCATTGCTCGTGTATCCTGGGACAACCGAGTAAGCAATGCAGTTGTTAGGAAACGGGTACTAGGTAAGGATGGCAGGTCAATAGATGAAGTCGTGAAACCTCACCAGTTGAGGTGGTTGTGACAAGTGTTGCGTATGCCTAACCACCGACCGCCTCCTTGAGCTGTGTTTTGTGGTGTAAGAATAAGTTGGAAGATAGCTAGGGGTGACCAGACCGAATTATGGCGCCAATTCATGAAGTCACTGACAACTGGATTGAGTCATGTTGGTAGGTGTCGACTACCTGGTTGGGGTCCGCGAGATGATAATAATCGATGGTTAGAGACCTTGAACAACATGGCTCAAAACGGTTTGCAATGGCGCAGGTGTATTCATTCTTTGTGTTCTGTCAAGTCCTAACCTTCCAAATTCCGCACCACCTATCTTTTTCTTTTTAAGTCTATTTCACTAGATTCTACTTCATGAATATCTTAGGTAGAATCTGGGAACTGGACACAATCCCATCCGAGTGGTCTAAATCACTGATTGTCCCAATCTATAAGAAAGGACACAGGTCTTCTTGTGACAATCACAGGGGAATCAGTCTAACAAATACAGCTGACAAACTCGTTCGAGATGAAGACCGATGCCAGGCAAGGTTGCCTAATCTCTCTCCAGGTCTCTAACCATCGGTGACTATCGTCTCGCGGACGAGCGACAGTCTTCTATCGAACCCCTCAATCGGTGGCTGATGGCGATGTGATCTAGTTGCGTCCAACTTTGAGACGACTTTGGAGGTCGCCAAGTCAACAGATGCTTTTCCTTATGCCTAGAGTTAGTGTTTGTTAAGAATAGTCGGTTGTCTGAGCACAGTTGAAACAGACGGTCACCATTGTCTGTTCTCTGAGCCGCGACACCATAAGATCCACCAAGGTGTCTTTCCTTCTCACTGAGCATTAAAGTCACCAGCCATTATTACTATATCAGAGTGCCTAGCTTTTTGGAGGAGGTTCGAAAACTTTCTGTAAAACTAATCTTTCACCTCGTCTGAACTGCAGTCAGTGGGGGCATAGGCAGATACGATGAAGAGGCAACGGCGAGTGTCCCTATCTTTCCGAGTCCTTACTGTCCCGTTTAGTCGGACAGCGCACAAGCCACTATCTACTGGGATCCAGTCAAGGAGAGATTGTTCAGCTCTACGACTCAATGCTATGCCTACGCCAGCAAGACCCCGGGAAGCAGCATCAGGGCTACCGGATACACGAAGAGTAAAATGGGGTTGCTTCTTTATTTTGATTAGGTGAAATCAGATTAATGATTTTACTAGGATCCTGTATGCGCGTTTCCGAGACGCAGCATACATCGACGGCACGAGATTCTAAAGTCCTAGCTAATGATGCCTGTTGCCCTATTTGACACAATGTCCGTACATTAAAAGCTCCAACATGTAGACTAAAACGAGGTTTCACGAGACCAGGAATGACGTTTCGGGAACCCACACTGTTTGCATTAGCGGTGCAGTGAGATAAGGGAATGTGAGTAGAGTTAGTTGTGGAGAGAAGAGAGGTATGTGTGGGTGTAAGAAGGATTTGATTTCCACCAGTTTAGTCTCTCGTGCTGTTACGGGTATGAGGGCGGTTGTCACTTACCGGCTGCTCACACCGTGGAAGGGTGTTTCTTGAGGGACCTGAAAAGGAAGATAGATTAGTACTGGTCTTGGAGACCAGGGAGCGTGATCGCAGAGTCCAAGGGGCAACTGCTTGTGGCCGGTCACGCACGGCCTTTTTATGAAAGGTATTTGTAGGATTAGCTCCGTTCTTAAAGGCCCTTAGTGGGCACTCTTACCCAAGGAGACGGAAATCCGTGAGGTAGCGGAGGTGTGACATTTTCTAACCCTTCCTTCCTTGTGAAAAGGCAGCGTCGCTGCAGATGCTGGTTGTCCGAGGGAAACACGGTACTGGTGTCACACTCCTCTGCAGTCAGCAGTACGACTTTGTCCTCAGACCTTGAGTAGCTGCTTTTAGTCTCATCGTTCTCCAATCGACCTGCCTGGCATGGTAGAAGCTTCAGGGACATATGTTCCAAACAATATAGCTCGATCGGGTCATCACGATAGGGAAGCCCGACCAGCAGCTTCGTTCGGGGAAATTTTTTGATATTTTTAAATGAGCTCTTTGAAGAATAGATTTGAAGAAGCCCTGTAACACTTTCTCATATTCCATAGAAGTACACCTAGATGTTATTGTCAAAATAAAACATCAACAACCGAAATAGTGTTTGGTAGACCAACTAGAACGTTTCTCGATGTTCTGAACCCGACAGATAAAATGGGTGGACTACAAAAAAATACTTAAGGGAATTCATAAAGTTAAAGCATGTGATTTCATGCCAGGAAGGTCAAAATGGATATACGGGTGGATAAATAGACGTGGAAAAGTATTTTATGAACTAGGTGTATTAGCATTTCCATTTGAAAAAGCAATTATTTGTTAACTTTTAATATACCCTGTTATAAACAAAAATGGTCGTATTGGGCAAGACAAAAAAGACTTCTTTAGCTTTATATAAGAACACTACGGAAACCGTACGAAAATGAAATTCAGAAAAAGAGGGATTTTCAGCGTCTTTGTCAATCATAGGTGTGCAAATATGCTATTTAAATTTCGTAGATAAATTGGGTCAATTAGAAGTCGACTAAATAATAACCGTAACCCTCCAAAAGTTAGACGTGTAAATAAGTACACATATGGTCGACTTGGTTTATTCGATCAACTTTTTCATTGTTTCTTCACTTGCAAAGCAAGGTCATGCATTGATATTCAAATCTCAGACCCCAAACGTCATAAGTATATTTAAGAAAGACCTGTTATTTGGGATCATCTCACTCTGGAATGGTCAATAAGGGCTATCCCAAATAACTATTATGATGACTCGTAAGTCTCAGTCAAATTGAAGGCGTCTGTTGTGAAATTCAAGCGCGGTTACCAGTGTCTAATTATTTCCCCTCAAAATTCCTGTAACATCTACCGACAGTAACTGTGAAGTATCTCCTCGACTAACAGATTTTAACTGCGACTTGTGAAACCATGTTATTTTTGAAAAATATCAACTGAAACACTTTATTTGTAAATTCATTTATTTTTTATAAGTAATGAATGACAAAAGATATGATGAAACTACTACTGAGAATTTTACAAAAAGGGAATGAAAAAGTTTTGAGTTTGGTATGAGATAGTATGATTAAACTAGTTCCTACAGAGATCGAATCGTTTAGCTACATCAACCCAGTTTATAATATCCCAGATCGCCTTTACGTAGTCTGGACGTACATTTTTATACTGAAGATAATATGCATGCTCCCAAACGTCAATTCCAAGTAAAGGCTTCAAACCTGTAGATTTCAATAAAATGTCAATAAAATACATAACCTTAAAATGGAGGTGTTAGTACAGATTTTTTATACATGTCGAAGATTTCTACACAACTGGACTGAAGATCACCTTCTTATAAACTGTGATAGATTTCAGTGTTTACTAAGGTATGTCATTATTCGAAGGACTGATCAGTGCTGTGTTGTGAGAGATTGTTACCTTGTCATATATAGTGATAGTAATAACTAATATAGTATTATGGAAATGATTTGATCATTCTTCTTACTTGAAATCATACACACAGCAATTAGAAATTTCTACGTTGATAACAGTCGAACACAGGTTTGAGGCCATTCCACTTACAGAATATAAGTTAAGAAGCCGTGTTAAAAATCGTGGTCACAAAATGTAATTAAATAAGTTAATAGAGAGACGTTTCAAAATATCATTCATTCGCTATCTACGATTGTTTTTATTCTTGATCAACTTATTATACTTTCACTCGTATTGACCTTTTCTATATTGTTGATATGTGATCTGCTGCGAAATCCTAGGTTGATTACTTTTATCCCCGACAAATAAAGATTACAAACATATAGATACAGGCTTTATATGACACTGAAATTAGATTATATCACTTCCTGAAAAAATACATCTACGATTGATAGCTGACCTGGATTCGACTTTTTAAAAACTGAGATTGAGTTGGTAAAATTCGGCAGATATATTTTGTTTTCTAGCCAAGCAAATTAGTTTTAGAAACTAATCTACCGATCTTGTTTGGCTCTTAATTACACGTTTTGATACCACCCAACTGCTCGTTACGAAGTAGGTAGAGAAAAGTTAAAAACTGAAGGTTAACGGCTTCAAACTAGATGCCTTAACCGAGAATACACCTCTTTATTTGTTTGTCGTCGGTCAAACCACGGTGTGAACCGGAGTTTCAACGCAAGTTCAAATCATAGCTTTACATATAGGAGTAAGATAACGGGAAAACCATATTTCTTAGACTCTGCAGCTTGGTAGTTACCCTAACAATACTATATAGATACCCTATATAAAAAGTTATTTTAAGATCTACCTGTAGTCCCTTCAAGAGGATCTTGATTAGAGCATGTGGCGATTTGCAAACGCTTTGAGTTGGCATTGTATCCAAGCCAACCCCAACCTGAACCCTGTATAGCAATTGTGGCAGCAGAGAGTTTGGATTTAAAATTATCAAATGATCCAAACTCATCATTAATAGCGTTAGCCAGACTTCCAGTAGGGACACCCCCACCTTTAGAACTAAGATTATGCCAAAAGATGCTGTGATTGATATGTCCTCCACCATTGAAACGGAGTGCTGGCTAATAGAAAACAAAAAAATATTTGAAAAACTGAATTTTAGCCCTTACATACACAAGCGTCGTACATGGGTGACTTAACATGCTTAAGACAAGGAGCATGTTTGGAGGCAAAAAACTTGATATATTTAGTTGATGCATAGATTAATAAATCAAGCATATTTGATAGTTAAGTGTGTCATTCTACAGTTTACCACCTTATCACGGCCAAGCCACATTTCTGACATTTTTAGCTAGACTCCTCCAACTCAGCTTAGAAACGAAATTCCTAGTGATTTTAGTAAGAACTATAGGTTGGGAAGGATCAACGTGATATTAACATTTCTAATTAACATCACGCCTGTATACAGCTAATCATTAAAGTAGAATTTTAAAGATTTCCATTGTGAATATTAGAACAACTAATGCAGGCGAACAATATTGTTTTTAATTTTCAGTGTCATCAGGCTCTACTCTAATATACAACAATACTTATTTGAAAATGTTAAACCAATCAAGGTAATTTATTTCGAGTCAGTAATCACAATAGAATAGATTACGTAACTATACAAAATAGGCAGAAGCACAAGTTAATAGTTAGTAGAAAGTCATACAATTATTAGCGGAAAGAATAATAAAATACAATATTAAAGGTTCTAGATAATAGTTCAACACTGGAAGTAGTAGGTCTAACTTTGATGAATAGACTTAGAACAACAGTCACAAAGCACTTCTAAAATTACATGTAAATAATTAGATACTGAAGAATATAAACAGGAAGAGGCAAAAGATGACAAATATGTGATGTGAAAATAATACTAATAATAAAATAAGGTCGTTTGTCAGGTTATATCTGGTCAAGGAGGGAACAGGAGTGTCACAAATTTCTTCAGAACACAAGTTGTGGTTGAATGCTCGGACTCCTATGGCTTCTATTATAAGTAGGAGCCAGGATCGAATTCTATTGGAAAATGATTGAGCTATACGAAAGGACGCTCAAGATGGTTCAATTTTATCTATATCATGATCACCATCAACCAGGCTTGGTTGGGCACACGTAACACATGTCCCGACCATCTCAACTGATTCAGTTTGACTACTTCATCTATTGATATACCATCCTTACCTAGTACCCGTTTCCTAACAAGTGCATTGTTTACTCGGTTGACCCAGAATACACGAGCAACGCTTTGGAGACACCTGTGATCGAAAAGCGGTAACCTACGAATATCTTTCACTCTGACTGGTCATGTTTCACAGCCGTAAAGTAGGATGGAGCGAACTGCTGCGTAGTACACTCGTCCTTTGGCAAATATTGAGATGACTATTGACAAACTAGGAATAGAGGCAACGGTACGAAAGTGAGGAATCTGTTTCGCAGTGACGTACCAATCGTTTCAATGCATCAAGTCCCTGAGTAAATAATGCTTCGAATGAAACATATGACCTTAGAAGCAATATCAAAGTGAGACGTAACTTTAGCATAAAGCTTCGATGTGCCAAAATAAATACAAACGATTTAAATGTTTGTGGTGGCGTTTCCTCCTCTAAGCTGGATGTTTAGGTTGTGGAGCTTTCATCATTCTAGTGAACATGATCACAAACGTCGGATAGAAGTATCTACACCTGTAAACCACTGACACCCGTTTACTACATCACTAGCGTTGTAAATAAAAATTGCCAAATGTTTTTAAGCTTTTTGTTTTAGGTTACTTCTCTCTGTAAAACACGCAAGTGAAGATTCAAATAAACTATTCAAATAAGTCACGATTTCTAATAAGACTGACGCTGTAAACCAAAAATAGCAGGCTTAAGTGTTCGCCTATCTCATTAAACTTAAGAAAATACATTCATAGGATAGTTAAACTTTGAATGTGAATGCTTTCAAACTAAGAACTCAGTAGCTAAATGGTAAAAAGCACAAGAATAAACAGTACCTAACCTAAATAAATGCCTATATATTAAAGCTAATTAGTCGCAAATGCTTACTCTGTTGCAGTTACCTACGGTCGCCAAACAGCTGAGGAACGAAAACCCACAGGAGAAATTGCTATCAGTGACTTCACTATTTAGACTGAGGAAAAACGAATCAATTATATAGAACTTGATGTAATTTTTAAAAAAGTACTTAACGAATGAAACTTCTAAAGACCATGACTTGTGATGCGCATGAATTTCCCTAAAACATAAGAACGACTGCTTTCATATCATAGTACGAAACACTACGTAGTAACCACTTGAAGTGACGGAGACTTAGATGGAACGATATTGAGAGCAGGTAGTTTAGCTCCATTTCTGAATCTAAGATTCATAATCCATCGATGTACTGTTACATACAAGGTTTATCACCATTAAGTATAAGTGCTATTCCAAAGAATGAGTCATATTACATTAATATTAGCGACATGATGAGGACCAAATGTGAACTGACCTGGATAGAAATGATTCTTGTAAGATCACTTTTTGAGATAGCTTCAGCAAGCTGTTCCTCAGCAATATTGAGATTATTAACATATGCAGCATGATGCTTCGAATGATGTAACTGCATAATTTCTCCTGATATTACAGGTTCCAAAGCAGTAGGTTCGTATGGCAAAGGGGGCAGTGTGTGTTTAAGGCGCATCGCATAATTACTAATCATACGGGGTTTAAAGATGCGTACAGAGGCCATTAGAGCACGAGAAGTGAGAAACCTAGTAGCGTCTCCTACTCTTCGCGCACCACAATATCCGTATGCAGTACTCAATATCCAATGTCTTTTCATGGGCTATTATAAACCAATAGTCAGTCGGCAGTTGTTCGTGAGTCTGTATGTTCTGTGATTAGAATGAATACGATTGTTTCAGGTCAGTAGGGTTTCTAGATACCAGCACCTATCAAATTACCAGACCGGATATCAGTTGGTTGCAATGTGGAAAATAATAAGAGTAGGATTACAGGGCTAAGTAAATAATGGATAATTTAGTGTATTAATTGATAGTGAAGATTGTGTGAGAGGATTGAAGAGTGATCAAGCGAGACGGAACAGAGATAATAAGCGAGATAGATTAAGTAAGTGATCCGAGGAGATGGCGATGATAACAACTAGCAGGTCTCAAGATATGCATCAGGTACAGCTTATCAAAGAGGGAGATAATAGTTCGTATGTGAGTACGTGATTATTACATCTCGTCTTAAAGCTGTCCACTGAGGGGGCTGTGGTCAACTCGGCATGAGGAACATTCCAAGTTGCAACGACTCTCAATGGGAGAAAGTGTGCACAAACCTGATTGTTCTCTCTTTGATGCGCAATTTTTCGAGGATTGCCTTGAGGGGAGTGGTGGTGATGCATCGGCTAGATGCATACTAGATGAAACCCTAAACAATCTACTCAGAGAATTGTTCAACCAGTCAAATAACAGCATGTTATTGAAAATCCTGATTTTGGTGTTGATTGATAGTTGTTTGGAGTACCGGATATTTTTCAATTGTAGAAATGCAGCCCTTGCTTTGCCGATCCGCGTCCTCACATCTGCATCGAATCCGCCTTGATTTTCGATGATGCTGTTCAGATATGTGAAGGTGGTAACGTCTTTCAAGACATCTCCATCAAGAGTGATTTGGTCGGCGCATGAAGCTTTGTATCGGGTAATCTTACTTTTCCCTTTATGTATGTTGAGACCTGCTGTTACTGGGGCTGCTGCTACACTGGTCAACTTCTCTTGCATTTGTTGTCACGATATAAGGTTGCCTGAGAAGTCCTAACCATACAGCTGCATCCTAGATGTCTATTGAATACCGTGCTTTCCTCCAGATGTTGACGTCTTCAAAATCCAGTCGATCACCAGGAAAAAGAGAAAGGTTGAGAGTAAGCAACCGTGCCTGGCATCGATCTTCACCTCGAACGAGTTTGTCAGCTGACCTACGTGCATGATTTTGCAGTTTAACCCATCACAAGAATTCCGTATGATGTTGACTTTCTTCTCAGGCACGCTGTAGTGTCGAAGAGGCTTTCATAATGTTTTCCTGTCGACGCTATCGAATGCTTTCTTGTAGTCGACGAAGCTGATGTAGAGTGGTGAGTTCCATTCAATTGATTGTTCCACAATGATCCGTAATGTTGCGATTTGGTCAGTACACGATCGATCCTTACGAAATCCAGCCTTTTTATCTGGAAGTTGGACGTTTACGAAGTCCTTCATTCTGCTTAACTACAGCCTGTTGAAGAACTTGCCTTGTTTTGAGAGAAGAGTGATACCTCTGTAGTTCTCACACTTGCTGAGATAGCCTTTCTTTGGTATTTTGATGAGGTATCCTCCTTTCCAGTCTGTTGGCACTCGTTCTTCATTCCAAATATTTTTGGAGAGAATGTGAACTATTTTTGCAGTTGCTGCCACGTCTGCTTTCATTGCTTCTGCTGGAATGTTTTCTGGTTCCGCAGCTTCGCCACTCTTGATTGCCTAATGGCCATACTGATCTTTCAAATTGTTGGTGAGTCAACATCGATTGCGAGGTGGGTTCAGTGGAGCTGGTCGATTCAGGAGTTCCTGAAAGTGCTCTGCCCACCTGTTTCGCTGTTCTTCTATGTTGCTGATTACTTTGCCTTCCTTGCTTTCACTGGTCGTTTTGGTTTACGATGGTTTCCAGCGAACTTCTTTGTTGTATCGTACAATTATCTCGTGTTTCCTTCTCTTGCAGCCTTTTCCACCGTCATTGCTAGATCTTCCACATATTTTCGTTTGTCGGCTCTGATTTTCTTCTTCACTTTCCTGTTTGCTTCTGTGTATTCAGCTTGTGCCTTAACTTTGTCTGCGCTTGTTCGGCTGACATTGATTGCTGCCCTCTTGTTCCTGCTTTCTTCAGTTTTTGCAAGAGTACCAACAGAGATCCATTCCTTGCGATGGTACTTCTTGTGACCCAGAACTTCGTGACATGTTGAAGTGATTGCCTCCTTGATCTCTTTCTAATAGTTCTACAAGGTTGCTTCCTCTCCATTGAGTAGATCGCGCAAGACCTGCAACCTAATGCTAAGGGCTGTCTGGAATTCGTTGAGTTTCCCAGTATCCCGAGGAAAGGCAGTAGTAAACTTTTGTGATGCTGTCCGCACCATTGTCCAGTATTTCTTGAGTTTCGGTTTCATTTTGTCGAACAGCAAGTGGTAATAAGAGGCTATATCGGTTCCTCTCTTGGTTCCCACCTCCTCCATGGTCGTTCTGAGCATTTTCTTGAAACAGATTGGTTGATTTGGTTCTGAGTAGTGTGATCTGGTGAAATTCATGTAGCTTTGTGTATGCGTTTGTGTGCGAATATTGTGTCACTAATGATGAGTTTGTTGAATGCACATAGGTTTGCGAATCTCTCGCCATTTTCGTTACTTTCTCCTAGTCCATATCGTCCCATGATGTCTTCAAATCCAGTGTTATCCATGCCAACTTTCGCATTTAGGTCTCCCGTCAGAATCGTCAAATCCTTTGATGAGTACCTGTCGACGAATGATTGCAGCTTTTCGTAGAATTGATGTTCATCGTCGTCATTGTAGTCATTGGTAGGCGCATAGCATTGGATGATGTTTATTGTGATGTCTATTGGATTATTTTTATTGTTGCACTTCTCCTTTAACTCAAACAGTGTAGGTTCATACGCGTCTCAATCAGTCCAGGTCCAAAAACGATAAATCGTGGGAGAACGTTTCAAAAAGTATATTACACATTCGAGTTTCCAATTACCAAAAGAGTTTCCGTTGCTGTAAGAATAAGTGCTTCCAGTCCGTTACTGCTAGAGTATCAAATCAAAAAATGGCTGTAGCCATATTAAATATCAAATTTAAAGAACGTATGTAAAGTTCAGAAGGAAACATAAAAACTTCAATATAAGTACAAGATATAGAAATAATAACAACATGCAATGATGAAATCTCAAAATGGAATCAAATCGAGTACCAGAATATCTACAGAAATAGTCAGTCATATCATAACGCAAATATATGTACATGGAGGGATTTTCCAAAAACAAAACCTTCAAGATAGATTCTGCAATGTCCTTTTTCTTTGTTTTGTAGGACACTTTAATGATCCTGAGTCCGTGAGATTCCCATCTCATCAGTGCCCTTTGCGCCTGTTTGGATAGCAGCAGTGCAACTCCTTGCGTTTGTGAGACATTTTCCCGTCCGTGACCAGAGTACAAGAGCAGTTTCTCTGAAGCTATTCTCAGCTGTCCTATCTGCGTCCTATGTGTTTCATTGATTCCAAGAGCCTGCAGGTTATATCTTTTCGTTTCTGCAGCAAGTTAGAATAGTCTTTCAGTCCCCCACAATTTTCGAACGTTCCATATACCTAAAAGAATGGTTGAGCCGGTTGTCAGAAAGAGCCTCGACCTTGTTACTTCCGAAGAAACTCGGCTTTTATCACGCGACGTCATAATTCTTCTGAAAGAAGATCTTCTATCTCTCGAGGCAGAGTTAAAATGGTGTGAATCACGTTTTCTGGTTAGCTAATTTTTGGCGAGTTAGGTTTATTGTTGGATGGGATCGCCAACACTATGCTACAGGCGGAGGGTTAAGCAATATAATCCCAAAAAAATCCACATCAAACGTTTTCTGCATCTACTGTGTAATGCTCCATTAATATTTTCCTTATTGGTACTTTTCAATTCTTAATGTTATGACTATAACATCACCAACATTAGTATTAAATTTTAGTGGATTGCGTATGCATATTGGGTCGTTGGCTCACCTCTTCCCTTGCTTTTTTCCGTCCTCCCAGTTCTCCTTGTTTGTGCTACCGTGTATGCTTCGCTGGTACACAGGGTACCTTCTGGCTAGACGCAAACGTCTACACATTAAGACAAACGACTGATAGTCGAGTTCACTTCAGGGTTATATACGACAATAATCGATGAGATAAATATATATATTCATTTCCATGGTGAAATTCTCTTGGTAATAAATTTGACAGGTTTCTTAAAAAACAACCAAAAGTCCTTCAAAATGTCGGAGGTATTGTTCAAAGTGTAGGTCGAAGCGATTTGTTCCATATGTGCTTTTGAATTTGTGTCACAAGGGTTTTAAAAAAAAGACAGGTAAAGGTTTAAGAAGAAAACGTTAAACACCGGAGTTCAGTCGGGACTTCAAAAGATGGATTTTTGATTAAAACAATAATATGTGATTACATGAGCATTTTTTCTTCATTAAATCACTTGTAACGCAGTTGCTTTTTATTAGCTTAACGACAAGTTGCCGGTATAATGGTGAATCGACAAATGACTATAAACAGATGAAACATTATTCATCTGTACATTTTTCAGCGCCTGTCTCGAATTTGGAATATAATTCTTTCTTTTTTACTCACGTAGTTCTTCCTGAGTTGAGTGCTTAATAATAATAACATTTTATTCTCTCACATCAACATGTTACAAGTGGTATGTCAATCTACAGTCACCATCAAAGTATGAAAACTGTCAACATATTTTCTGTAAAAGGTTGTTTAGTCAGATCAATGCTTCACAAGATATATTTGCTTTTTATAGAGTGCCAATATTTTTCACATAAAACTGTAGATAATGTTTGGGACTCTGGAATGTTCAATACGGTAGCTGACGCGAGTTACGACGGTTGCGCTGCAACCAACCACTGCTGTTCGCGAGTCAACGCAAGGTCTATCCGTTCTGCATAGAACAAGAGTTGATGAGGTAGATGTATAATGATATTATTGTTGAGATTCACCAAGCAGTAATTTAATAGGCTTCTGGGTAGGTTAACCAAGTCTTCGGCAATCATCAAGGCTAATATTTATGGAATACGATGAGATGGTAAAAAAAAGAAACTA